GACCTTGTCGGGATTTTGACCTGGTACAGTCTGACATGTAATTTTCAGCATCTACTGAGTGTGCAATGTTGTTAACATCTTCAGAGGTCCTAAACAGTGGAATTATAATCCAGGATCAAGTTATCATGCATAAAGTACTTCTTATTGCAGGTAAACACTGTAGTAACCTACAAAGTTTATAGCTCAAGTGAAAGTTCTATAAACTGATCTATTTTTGAAACAATAGTTGTAGTTATAATTAACGGTATATATGGATTTTGACAAAACACTGAACCCCCAGTTAACTGTCTTAACTGACCCCTTCTAAAAGTCACCGTGAAAAAAAACAACTTGTAAACAGTGACAGTTGATTTTATACTTTAGTGGTGGCCGAGACACGCTGGCCTAATGGTTAGCGTGTTGGACTCCGGACTGAGCAGTCCGGGTTCTAGCCATGGCCGGGGTGACTGTGTTGTGTTCTTGAGCAAGATACTTTACTCTCACAGTGCCTCTCTCCACCCAGGAGTATAAATGGGTACCGGCGACAAAATGCTGGGGGTAACCTGCGATGGACTTATAATACTCCTATTCGCTTCATGCTACAGAAACCGGGATAAGCTCTGACTGGCAGTTGTGGGCCTCTATATACACATGTAGGCTCGTGAAGACTTTACCTACCTTTTAGAAACTTTATGTGAGAATCTGAATGATTGAAATGCATTCACCAGTCCGGGAGGATACCAGTTCTGGAAGAAACGAAAACAATTGTTCTACGTCACGAAACGTCACCGATCAAAACATTGGATCGCATTTCATAACAAGATTCTCTTCAGCCAAATTCAAGATGGCGGACAAGCGCGAGGAAAGTGCATACGATTTTCTTTTTATTTCGTGCCGTAATGAGGCTAGAAATCTATTTTCTTTGTCGTGTTAGCAGCTTCGAAGTCGTAATAGCTTTCGTTGAGCTTATTACTTACACAAAAATGGTAGGAGTTCGCTTTCTCTTCTCGTATAAAGTCAGTCTTTTAGTTATCAAAAAGCTTAAGCTTATAAATATTTAACATGCCGTTCTTCGGGATGTATTGCTCAACATAAATACCAAGATCATGGGGGAAGCCCTCCTTGTAAACAAGAAATTGGTATGTTTCCTTTCTTTACCGTATTCTATTTCCTCAAATTAGTATTTTATTCCGTTAACTCAACTGGCTTTATCGTGTCTATATGCGATGTGTTCATAAAAGGCGCCCCTTCTAAAACTGAAAAATATGGATTGAGCTTGTCATGTTATCGCATTTAATACATTCATAGACTTCTGATTTTTTAATAAGTGTTTATTTATAAAACACAAGCATAGAGCTTTTAATTTTGTAGTCTAATACTTAGTTATAGTAATGCTTGTACCAAAAAAGGTGGACCTTCTCTCATTTTAATATACTAAGTAGCATGGAACAGTAAATGTGGGTCTGAAATTGTTTTGCAGTCACACTATATTGCCCTTGCAAGAGTCACCTGAAAATTTGTGAATTCAGTGACAACCAAAGTGGAAAAGTACATGTATGTACTGTTCATGTTTATAAGTCTATCTCAGATCTCTCAGATCCCGAAGGGTGTTAGAGGGTTTCAAATCGTACTATTTATTAAAGCCGATTGTTGTTAATATGAACACTGAAGCAATAAACTTGACACTGAAGTAATAGAATTGAGTGTCTGCATTGAAACATTGCAGTTTATGGTCTTTCTGGAACAAAGTGAACTGTCTGTAATATTTCAGTCTATGTATTTATCAGGCTGGACTGTGGACTGTAATTTGATAAATCATTGGTTGCAATTCATTTCCTCTAAGACTGGGAACTGTAAATTTGTTCTTGTTATCTAGACATAAATGAATATGTGAATGAAGAAATAACCAGTCGCAATGTTTCAGGTCAATACTATTGTATTAAATCTCAGCAATCCATCTACATCTTTTGTTTTTTCCTTCCTCCCTCCACCTAGAAACAAAACACAAAAACACTTTTTAATTACTTGCTTTAATTTGCATCCCATAACTATCGTAAATACATGATTCGATTTTTTGAGCATACATGGGGTGGATTCACAAAGCCCTCCTAAACTAAGATGTATCCTAATTATTGTTTCCTAATAATAGCCTATTGTTAGGAAGCAATACTTAGGATACATCAAAGGATTTATGAGGGCTTTGTGAATCTGACCTCTGGAGATTAAATAAAAGGAAAAAACCCCAAGTCATATCTGGCACAACCCAGAGACTCTCTAGACTCTCTAAGAAAAAGAAATACATGAATATTATTATAAATGTCCCTGACAGGTACTGTAATCCTTGTCTGTGCATGGTGGGGATAATTGAGCAGAGGGGGCGCTGGGAAAGATGGGAAGGAGAGGAAAAGTAAAGTGACTTTTCTTATCCTATTTTTATCCTTGCTGTCATTCCCCGCTCATGCTTTGTGCTCATTTCAAGCTCCCTCACATGTTAACTAATATTTGCCAACAAACCTGTACTTCCATCTCCTCTCCTTCTTCGACACATTTTAGCCCTGTGGTTATTTTTGTGATGGTTTCGTCCACAAAACCATCCATTACAAGGAGAACCCATTCACACGGGATGTAGGCCCCCCTCCTGCCTGCTTGTTTTTGACTCACTTTTGTGAGGCAGGAGGGGCTTTTGTCGTTGTGGGTAATCCTGTAACCACACTATAAAACAAGAAAAAAAACAACAAAGTCATGATGACTAGGCTATCTTCACTACAAATGTTGCTCAAAGTATGAAATACTTTTACATAGTCATTTTATGTCACAAATCATCTGGTTTTATTTGATAAAAAATGCTAATCTCTCTCTGGATTTATGCGGCAAGAGTTCTCTACAATTTGACAATGAATCTCCATTTCTTAAAAATCCTGTAGAAAGTCAATAACACGAAACAAAATTTAGCAAAGTAAACTACAGTAGGAGCATGAAAGATATCAGCATAGCTTTAAAACAGCGATTGGCAAACACTGCCAAATTTATTTCGAAGTAGAAAAATATAAAATAAGTTCCTATAAGCTTACTCTCACTGATTTATCACACCTTCACATGTGCTTACTAGCTGTTACTAGCCGTGAAAAACATTGCCTAAATGCCTCACAACGCTAGTCGCTGAGCGAACATAAGCGCTCTTGCCCAGCTCGAAGCGATGCGTCAATGAACGCATATGAGCAGAGCATCCAAGCAGTCAACTTTAAAAAGTGTTACCATTTTTCCTAGGTGGTTACCAGCGACGAAACTTTCCAAAAACAACCCTTATCAACACTACATTCGAGGAAAATTGTTCTCTTGGTCTAGAAAATTCTCCATGTCAGAGAAAATAAAACACAAATACATGTACTTACATTTCATGCCCGCCAACATGGCGGCGGCGTTCACGATCCACGAACTTTCGTTGCTAAAATATTCGTTGTTAAAGCTTCATTCCTCGCCAAAACACAACTGAACACGTATCCATCTTGTTTCTACCAGATTTGCTACACAAAGTTCCCGGATATTGCGCGTAGAGGCTGGTAAGGAGCTTTTAGAATGAGCCCCAATTTCTCTCTATTATTTTTGGCGATTTTTGCTTATTTTCGGTAGAACAAAAGAAATATGACGTCACACTTTCTTCCAGAACTGGTATCCTCCCGGACTGTTCACAAGGGTTTTAGAGTTCATTAGACAAATAGTTTTGTGCAAATGGAGTCAGCAAATCCATTTGTCTATGAACTCTACTAACACCCTCATGCATTATTATTTTTATAATCAACTGTCAAATCTTGTGACATTTGCTTTTGAAAATGACGGTACTGAGTGGTTGAAACGTCAAGAAATTATATATATAATATTTATACTATTTTATCACTTATTTTAATTTATTTTTCTTGTCTAAATCTACATGAACTGTTATTATAATATTTATTAAATAATAATTAATAATTATTATTGTTATACTCTGGTGTACATGTACATTTTGTATGCAGGTAATTCTCACATAGATCGGTGTATGTGATACTTTATTATATGACATAGCATTTTAGAGCGCACAAAGATGAGAGCAAATATGAGACCGTATTCAATAGGTCTTAGTCCCCCTGACCTCGTGCTACGGAAAACACTGTTGAAAGCCTATATTTTAGGAAAGATATTACTGTTGTATAATAAACAATTTATTCAGCGGAAAGTTGTGTAATACGGCTGGGCATTTTTACTCGTCAGTGTTTATTTTTTCTCACCTAAAGGTTCAAAAAAATAAAAACTGGCTCGTCAAAATACCCAGCCATATTACACAGCTTTCCGCTGAATAATCTCTTTATATACATGTATATACACTGTATAGCATAAAGTGTGTAAGTTATCAAATGAATGTAACCTGAATTGATAAAAGAGTACTAACATGTACATATTTAATATTTTAAAATCTCCAGTGAGTCAAAATGCCTTCAGAGATTTGGAGAATCTCCAAGAGTTCAGGTAAGTCTTTGTAAAACTTTGTAAAACTTTGTACTTGTACACTCACCACTAGCAAACCAGCAGGCTAAGCACAACTTTATAATAGCTACCGTATTTCCTCTGTTTAGCCCCCTCCCTTTATTAAGCCCCCACTTTCAGGGATAAAAATATTAGCAAGCCCCCTCCCTCCATTAAGCTCCCCTGGTTTCATATTTGTATTGCAGGAACCGTGAACTTAAAACTACCCACAATACCTTTCGGGATTGTCGCGTGCGCTTTTTTCTGACAACCTTTCTCGAAACAGCTGTATGTAGAGTAAGGTAAAGCCGCACTCGGGCCAAACTAGCCCACACTGCTGGAGCTTATCCCGGTTTCCGTAGCATGAGGCCGACTAGGAGTATCGCTACTCCCTCTGGATGCTAGACCATCGCAGGTTAACCCCCCCCCCCCCTAGCATTTCGTCGCCAGTACCCATTTATACTCCTGGGTGGAGAGAGGCACTGTGAGAGTGAAATGTCTTGCCCAAGAACACAACACAATGACCCAGCCAGCACTCGAACCTGGACCGCTCGATTCAGAGTCCACCGTGCTAACCATTAGGCCATTGCATCTCCCACATATGTACAGTAAACAAGATGACTTTCATGGTTTGTTTGAACATACATGCATGTATGATGCACAAAAGCTTGTATTGATGGTGAATATCAATCAGCCAGTAACTGAAGCATGACACAGCAACTTTTGAAATATTTAATAAGCCCTCAATCCCCCCCTCTATTAAGCCCCTTCTAATAAGCCCCTCTTTGTGAGACCTAAAATTAATATGCCCCTGGGGGCTTCAAAGAGGAAATACGGTATAAGAAATTCAGTCAAGCCCATATTTAGTCAGGATTTTCTTTTTATATGACATAATGTATCAGTCTAATATACCCTCCCACTTCTTACAGAAGGTCAAGCCAAGGGAAAGCCAAGGGACAGTGAGTTCCCAGAGGCATAAATTTGGCTGGTGGTGGGGAGGGGGGCAATCCGACAAACACTCCTTGGGGAAGGGGGCTATGAATATTTTATGGTACAACCCATTGCAGTTAAACTTGTATTAAATTTATCAACCAGCTTTAATTTGATCAGCAGATGCAGAGAGGGGCAGTAAAGGGCTGACAATTGGCTTTCTGGGAAACAGTGGTAAGAGCTGAACTTGGCATTACATAATATTATGTAATTAATTAATGCATAAATTAATAAATTGTTGATCTATATGCACCTATTAAAATAGGTATATGATCAAAACTAAATTCCCTGTGGTTACAAATATCAGGGTTCCAGATATGTTTTAAAGGAAAGGTGTCAATGAGGAATATAGATATGGACCTCACCAACGTATATGAAGTTTTCCATTAATTTATTGGGTCAGCTACATGTAGCTGACCTTGTTGAATGGGTCTTTTACCTGAGACCCCTCTCTTATCTGGAACGCTGAAACATGACAAGTTGATTGATGCCTGATCAGAAGTGATACCCTTGCAAAATGAAAATCTGAAGCAGAAATTGCATGTTATGTAACTATGCTTAGAATGAACAATTTTATAATGATTACAAAAACAATTTTACAGTGTGCAAATCAAAACCTGTTGTCTAAAAATAGTCCCAGCTGACATGTAATTTTCAGAGTGCTTACAACTGTTCCTGTGCATTTCTGATTGGTTTGTAGGAATAGGAATCTTTGGGTCCATTGTTATTTATCTACCATAAATAGTATTTGTAGAACTTATGGAAAACAATTCCAAGCCATATAAGACCCCACCTCATCTTATTTCAGTGCTAAGCCCCCCCCACCCCCCCCCCCCCCATATTAACTACTGCATAAAGCTAAGTCAGAAGGACAAATATTCAATGTTTTATTATGTAGTTGTTGTATTTGAAGATAGAAAAATCGAAATAATGAGCATATATAAAGACTTTTTTAAAAATTAAAACCAATCAAAGCTCTCCCCTAAGTGGACACCCTCGGGAAGCAGAAAAAGTATACGCAAAACTGGAGCTGCCGCTTTATCTTTTTGGATATATTTTCTTCGTGTTGACAAAAATAAACATTTCTATAAGAGCTCTGTTTCTACCAATTTATAAACATAGGCACGTAAGGCGTGCGTTGTTGCTGTTGAGTATAGTTATCGATAGTTGTTGGAGAGACTTGAGGGCATGTTTTTGCAATTTCTAATCTTAATCTTAAAGGAGATAGTCACGATTTGTTTTGAATCTTGAAAAACTTGGCCAATATTTCTTCAAGTTCGCATTCACAATCCGTCTTAATCCTCAACCGTCCTTGTTCCTGTTTGGTTTATGTCACCTCTTTGGTGTTTTTCTACCTTAGTAAAGTTATAATTTTGAGGGCTTTCTTCATATTTGTAGCGTTATTTTGCCACTTCGCAGAAAAGACTTAAAAATATCGTGACATAGCTCCCATTTACTTCCTAAATTCGTTCCCGTATAATCTAAGCAAAACGTTAGTTGCTGTTTTGTCCTATATTGGGGAAAATCGCATCCCCAAAAAGGGCAATTTTTTTTTTATTGCAAACGTATGTAATTTGATACGTTTGTTTTTCTCGCAAGCCATAGTTAATAGAGCGAAATGGTTATGAAGCCCGGCAAATTAAGTTCTTTGTTATATGTTTTTGTTCGCTTTTTTTGGCCGTGACTGTGCACAAAACCTGACAAAATACAATAGGTGTTTACGTGTGTTCAAGGAAAACTAACCAATAGAAACGTTTTGGTTACGTAATTTATGCATAGTGTACGAGTGCCAAAACAAAAGATTGTACACGGTCGTGGACCTTCCAACCTAAATCTTGCCATCTTTGTTTGCTCTTTGAAGTTTCTCGGGCTTCATAACCATTTCCCTCTATTAACTATGCGCAAGTGTATGTAATGTAATTTCAATGTTGATACTTTGTTGTTCTTGCAAGTGTAACTTGATACTTTTTTCTTGCAAGCGTTTGAAACGTGATTTTTTTTTTGTCACAAACGTATGTAACATGATAGGTTGAAACCTTGTTCTAGGAAAACACATTTTGGAGATGTCTGATCTTCCTGCTCCTTCTAAGTGCGATGGAAGTGAAATATTTAGACTTTACACTAAACAAATAAAATCTACAATGAAGCAGACACTGTCTGTACGGCCCCAATTCTTTATTCTCTATTATTCTGTAACGATTCGCAACCTACGTAACATGTACAAGCTCTCAACTTTTCTCGTCGAATTATCTGCTAACCAATTTCGCATCAGTAAAAAAAATATCCGCAGACATGCGCAGTAAACAAAAAAAAATATAACAATAGGCTCTCAAGATCCAAATAGCTTTACTCGTTTACTCTATCTCTGTTACCAAGTGAATGTAACGCCGAAAGATACGCCAAGCTTTTCACATTTCTACGTCAAGCAGCCAAGGTTTACTAATTATAACATTTGAAACTACAAAATCCTCTGCTGAAAAACTCACCAAGATTGCCGCTATGATAAGCGGCAAAGACGGTAACAAAGCTCATTTGTACGCCAGCTGGTTTAACTTGATATACAAGACGCACTGTACTGCCTTAGTCACCCACCGGCCAAATACTCAGTCGAGTAGATCGTAATGTACACCATTAGGGACGCACACTTTTTAAACACGCCGAAAACTGATCTTAAATGTAACCTACATAAAATGCGCCTTACAAAATAGAGAAATATTGCAAATATATAAATACCTGCACCACTTTTTACAAGACCAAATTGCAGACGATTTAAGTGTTGCCAAATTAAAACAACAATTATTCTCTTGGTCTGTTATAATTATTCACCCTACGCTGAGACACGAGAGACCATCAAGTTATCATAATTTGTATTCATTTGATGAAGTACTGCGTACGATTTGATCCGAATTTCATACTTCCGCCTTTTCAAAACAGACACGAGATCGCGATCACCAAAATCGAAGTTACCAGATCGCTTCGTTTGATTATATTCTTCAGCTATGTTATGATCATGAAAGAAAATCTCCTTATATATTGTAAACTGCTGGTAAAGATCGAGAACAAACAAAACAAGGTTTACTTACCGCAACGTTCAGTTCAGTTCGCTTTTAGAAAGTGAAAGAACGAAAATTTCGCCAGGGGCGTTCTAGTCTGCGTGCAGACGTCGAAGCAAAGGAAATTGGAGAACTCTGCACTCAGGCGAGGGGGTTTCCATCCTCGGAGAACCAGGGGCAGATAGTGGGGGCGAGCGAATGGCCGCTCTTTAAAATCGCACGCAAATCTTCTCGCATACAATGCACCTTTATAAACGACAATTTCATTGGTTGTTTATGGTAGCTCAGCCTGATGGCTGTGACATGCAAAAATACATTCAAACTTTTTCTAAAAGCACCGACTTAGGACTATGACTAGTTTTCTAGGAAAAATTATAGCACAATAAATTATTCAAAGAGGTTCACAGCTACATTAAATTGATGAAAAATATTAGGTGTCTGAAACCCTTTATAATAGACAGTTTTTTGTTGTTTTTGTTTTGTATTTTTAAATACGACAATGTGTTAAACTTTATCAAAAAGATCAAATTTCACCGAGTATTAAAATTATTTATTGCCTCAAAAGGTCACAAAATAAACCTCCATTTTGGATGTTGCCATGGCAACCAATTTTGACGTTATACACACCTTGACTCTGTCCAAAGAGGATAGAAAGGTGATACTTTCCTTAGAATACATAGTGTTGCCTGGCAAACGGTGCAAATCCGGTGCTAGTCAACCTGTTGCCAAGGATGATGTCAGCCCAAACTTGTCATCACCCTAAGAGTAATTTTTTACGCTAGTAGTGCTGCACGCGGGATTTTTGCGACATTGCGCTGGCAACCAATTTAACTTTACACATCCGGATCTGATTATGTTCAGGTGTTCCTCGGTAACTTCATCGAGTTAACTGTGATAGATTGACTAAGACTGTGAATTGAGCTAAGTAATGTAGCTCACCGTGCGTCTTAACCCAAATTGTTAAATACTCAATCACTAATACGTTATTGGTTCATTGTCAAAGCGGTGGCCCCGGTTATAGTAGTCGCACTGTAAGTAAAAAGATTGAGCGAAGATTAATCCGAAGAAAACGTTGTCTTGCTCCCTTTCATTTTTTTTTTCATTCAGCTTGCCAACTGAAGACCGCGCCAGACATTTTGCCGGCACACTTCATCGTTTTCTTGCTGTGGTTTTACCTCCCTCAGTATTTTTTAACAAAGGACAGGCCTATTAGCAGCCACATAATCCTTTAGTGCACATATCATAATCTGGAGCGGAACAGCTTATTCAAAGTGAACCAAGGAAATAATTGTCTAATAAAGAAATAAAAATAAAAGCTCCAAAGGAGGCCTAAATTAGAGACGGATGCTTAATAGAGAGGGGGGAGGGGTTATTTCAAACCACACATTTTCGAAAAAATTCACATTTATTGAACTGTTCAAACTTTACTATTACACCACTAACTAAAACAGAACAAGAAATGGGTTATGTAACCCTAACTGAACGATAGTTCTGGAAATTAAAGACCACATTTCAATACCAAGTGACTGAAACGCTAGAAAATATTGCCT